TATTATCTTCAATTGTCCTTATTTGAAATAAGATTTAAAATTCAGAGTCAAATGTGTTACAATTGAAAAATTAAGAACTAAAGTGACATAAGTCCCAAAACTATAAGGATCGTTAATGTAATTCACTTCTTTCCTTTTTTTTTTTTTTTTTTTTTTTCAGGGGGTTTTTTGGGTGGATATGTTGAGACGGTGCACATGGTTCACAATTTTTTTAATAAATAATTTTTAAAAAACACATAATTCATTAATGACATGGGAGTTATGTCACATGGGGAAAGTTCAACAGCTATACTATTCATTAATTAATGAAATTCAATTACAGTGAGCATTTTAGGGGCAAATTACGGGTTAAACATATTAAATAATGTTGATAATGATATATGACTAATGATATATGGTAGTACTAGTGGTACAATTGACTACAATTTGGGAGAAATTAAAACTATTAGCCCATTATTCAAAGGCTTGAACACTTATATATTATGCAATCTAATTTTTGATCAAATTATTTTGTTTTGATAGCAATGGATCTTAAAAAATTTAAAGAAAAAATTATTTGAAGAAGAGTATTAATTATTTATTTAGAGAATAATAATTGTGCCACTAAAAGACAATAAAGTTTTTATAATTAAAATATAGGTTGCTGTTTTAGTGAGACTTTAATTGTAATCACTTCCAAGTTCCATAAAAAGTCAAAAAATTATTCCAAAATTCAAAAAGATATCACTATTCACAAAAAAAAAAATTAAAAAATCAATTTTCTTCAAAAAAAAAAAAAAGTACACACCGAATTGATGTGTGTGCAGCTGCTGTGTGCGGCGGTGGAGAAAAAAGAAATGTTTGGGTGTGGTTTTTACACACACCGTTGTTCGTCTTATAGGGGTCATCACGGGTCCCGTTTTGATAATCTGAACCGTTCAATGTGTAGAAATCGTCGAGAACTATATGTCTGCAAAAATCACATTGATCGGATATCGATAACTATATGATCAAATCAGTTATGTACAACAAATGGATGGTGTTATAATTAATGATTAAAAAATAAATAGATCTGATCAGATAGCTATCGATATCCGATTAACGTGATTTTTTGTAGGTATATAGTGTTCGACGAGTTACACACATTGAACGGTTCAGATTATTAAAATGGGACCCGTGATGACCCCCACGGGCCAAACAAAACCGTCCAATGCTTTGTACAAAAATTAGCCAATAATTTCCAACTCCAATTGAGTCTGCCGGTTGTACAGCCGGTTGTATGGCTAGGGCCCACTCCTCTCTTATCATCTCTTACACACTTTTTTTATACAATTTTTTAATACACATTTTTTCATAAAAAAGTCAAAAAGTTAACCCAAACCTCCATATTTTTTTTTTGTCTTTTTTAGTCCAAAAAGACAAAAACACTTATATATTATGCAATCTAATTTTTGATCAAATTATTTTGTTTTGATACCAATGGATCTTAAAAAATTTAAAGAAAAAATTATTTGAAGAAGAGTATTAATTATTTATTTAGAGAATAATAATTGTGCCACTAAAAGACAATAAAGTTTTTATAATTAAAATATAAGTTGCTGTTTTAGTGAGACTTTAATTGTAATCACTTCCAAGTTCCATCACATTAGGACGTTGTCTTTGACCTGCGGACAAGGGGGGAAATTTTCTTGTTAAAAAAAAAAGAAAAAAAAGAAAAAGTGTAAATCCCACCTGTAAAAAGAAGAATCTCCGCAATTAAAAATTTGTTAGAAATTAGTCTACAAAACAACTTAATGACATGAAATAATATTTAAAAAATAGAGATAGAAAATAAAATCCAATGAATAGTATTCTTAAAAAACAACTACATAAAGGCTAAGTTTGGGAAGTCCCAAATAAGTCAAAAAGTCAAAAAGTTACTCAAAAAGTTAAAAAGTTAACACTATTCACCAAAAGTCAACAATTACGACTGCACAACTCCCAATTCAAATTTTCCTCTACAAACCAATTTTTACAATTTTTTATTACACATTTTTTCATAAAAAGTCAAAAAGTTAACCCAAACATCCATATTTTCAATCTCAATTTTTTAGTCCAAAAAGACAAAAAGTGCACTTATTTAGTCTTCCCAAACTTGGCCAAAATTTTAAAACAATTTAATCAAAAATAAAATTTAAATTATAATGTAACACAAAAATTGTTGATTGTGATGTGAATGGGTATCTGGGATTGATATTTTTTATTTTTCTTTTATTTTTTTGTGTGTCTTTCGTGAGTTTAAAATATAAAAATATTAAAAAATTTATTAAATGTCTTATATGGGTGTGAGACTTACATGATATGAGTTTTACACCTATGTGAGACATTTGATAGAAATTTTGATAGAATTTTTGAGATTTCTAACATTATTCTTTAAAATAAATTAAAAACTTTACAATTTTAGGCTTCGTTTGGTTTGCGTTTGGAATCATGATTCCAAAGGCAAAATTTTCAAAACACTTTTCAAAATTCATAACCAAACACATAACTTAAAATTACATAAAACTCAATTCAAAAATTAATTTCAAAACTCTTAACCAAACACACAACACAAAACTCAATTCAAAACTTTTTTGATGATACAATGTTGAGGCTAAGTTTGGCATATTAAAAAAAAGTTAAAAAGTCAAAAAGTCACTATCCTATTTAAGTCACATCATCTTATTTAAGTCATATCATCTATCTACTACATCACTTCAAACCCAACCCATATTTCATAAAAAGTCAAAAAGTGCACTTATTTATAACATCCCAAACAACTGATGGGATTGTTAAATTATTTTTATAAAAAATCTAAAAAAATAATTTCTATATTTAAAAAAATATCTAAAACAAATATATATATATATATATATTTTCAAATAACAGGCTGCAATTGAAAAAAAAAATAAAAATTCACAGTTCTAGTCAACCGAGCGGACTATCGGGTAGACCCAATCCGCTCTTTTCAAAATTCAAAATTTAAAATTCAAAAATATCTTTCAAAACACTTTTCAAAACTCATAATCAAACAAATTTTTTCTTTTTAAAACTCAACTCACAATTCCAAAAATAGAATAACAATTTCAAAATTAAACCAAATACAATCTTAAGTTTTAATCTAGACAAATCAGGAAAAAATTTATTACAGACTAGGAAAAAAAGTTTTTTTTAATAGTGAATTTATTTTGGATTTATTATTTTATTTTTTACTTTTTGATTTTTACATTAGATAAATTGAAAAAGTAAAAAATTTTAACACAAAATTTAAATAATCACTAAAAAAAAAATTATGACGGCGTTTGGTGAGGCTCTCAAATCATAATTCCACTCATTGATTTGAATGCGACGTTTGGTTCAGCGTTTCAAAAATCATTTTGACAGTTGCATTTGAAAACTCGTTTATCCGGTCATCCACCCGGACGTCCCCCGTCGTCCGACTGGTTGATTGGAACAGTGTTTGTGTTTTTTTTTTTAGGCTCCGTTTGGTTTGCGTTTGGAATCATGATTCCAAAGGCAAAATTTTCAAAACACTTTTCAAAATTCATAACCAAACACATAACTTAAAATTACATAAAACTCAATTCAAAAATTAATTTCAAAACTCTTAACCAAACACACAACACAAAACTCAATTCAAAACTTTTTTGATGATACAATGTTGAGGCTAAGTTTGGCATATTAAAAAAAAGTTAAAAAGTCAAAAAGTCACTATCCTATTTAAGTCACATCATCTTATTTAAGTCATATCATCTATCTACTACATCACTTCAAACCCAACCCATATTTCATAAAAAGTCAAAAAGTGCACTTATTTATAACATCCCAAACAACTGATGGGATTGTTAAATTATTTTTATAAAAAATCTAAAAAAATAATTTCTATATTTAAAAAAATATCTAAAACAAATATATATATATATATATATTTTCAAATAACAGGCTGCAATTGAAAAAAAAAATAAAAATTCACAGTTCTAGTCAACCGAGCGGACTATCGGGTAGACCCAATCCGCTCTTTTCAAAATTCAAAATTTAAAATTCAAAAATATCTTTCAAAACACTTTTCAAAACTCATAATCAAACAAATTTTTTCTTTTTAAAACTCAACTCACAATTCCAAAAATAGAATAACAATTTCAAAATTAAACCAAATACAATCTTAAGTTTTAATCTAGACAAATCAGGAAAAAATTTATTACAGACTAGGAAAAAAAGTTTTTTTTAATAGTGAATTTATTTTGGATTTATTATTTTATTTTTTACTTTTTGATTTTTACATTAGATAAATTGAAAAACTAAAAAATTTTAACACAAAATTTAAATAATCACTAAAAAAAAAATTATGACGGTGTTTGGTGAGGCTCTCAAATCATAATTCCACTCATTGATTTGAATGCGACGCTTGGTTCAGCGTTTCAAAAATCATTTTGATAGTTGCATTTGAAAATTCGTTTATCCGGTCATCCACCCGGACGTCCCCCGTCGTCCGACTGGTTGATTGGGACAGTGTTTGTGTTTTTTTTTTTGCACCTGTTATTTTTATATTTCAAAATAAAAATATTTTGAAATTTTTTTAAAATTTTTTATGAGTTTTGAATAGAAATTTAGGTTGTGGATTTAGTTATGAGTTGTAAATTTTTAAATCAAATATCGTATATCACATCACTCTTTTTAAAATTCATTACTAAATAAATTTTTCATATTCAAATCATAATTATAAAACTTACAAATTTAAAATATAAATCTATTATTAAATTATAATTCTAAAATTTTACCAAACGCAACCTATATATATATATATATAACTCTTTTAATTGGATGCCAAACATACCCTAACAAGCTGATGTGCTGCGCGTGGTGGTGGATTTATCAGGAAGAAGAATGTCGCCTTGCATTGGGCTTCTCTCTCTCTGTCTCTCTCTCTCATCAACAACACTTAAATAAAAAGCTGTCCCAGCGGTCAGGATATATAAATACACCATGAGAAGATGTACAGACAGTTTTTTACATCTTCGTTGCTTATTATTACCCTCTCTCTCTCTCTCTACTATCAGAGTGTCCTAGATCCAATCCCCCTTCCATTTTCCAATTCTCAAGCCCTAGATCACTCCTTCCTTCCCTTAGGGTTTTCACATCGCGCCGTTTGGAGGATGCAGAGTCTCCAACTACCCTTTCCTCCCTCAATCATTCACCAAGGTACTATGTATTGATACCCCCTATCTGTTCTGTAAAAAAAAAAACTCCACTGATTTCTAGGTTTTTGTTTTATCTGTATATCTATAATGAAGCTTATTGATTTCTGTATAGGTAGATACCATTAATTCTTTGTTGTAATTTGGTAATGTATGAATATTGAATTGGGTTGAGTTGAGTTGAATCTTGGGTTTTGGGAATGTTTGTTTCATTGTGTTTTGGGTTGTGATGGACATGGAAGAAGATGGAATTGTGGGTATAAAGGGTCTTGTTGGTGAAAAGTTTTCGTCTTGAAGTTGGGTTTGTATTGGTTGTGCAATGGGTTGTTTTTGTTGTAAGCCCTCTGCTATTGAAGATAGTAGGGAGAGTCCAAAGGAGAGGTTATCTAGTAAGACTGCGTCGGATTTGCGAGTACCTAGGCTGACTTCGTCGAGGAGAGAAGATGGGTATAGAGTGAAGGATCGATCGGATAGTAGTGATGGGACGTCAATGTTGATTGATAAGCAGACAAATGGTGTAGTTCGGTTGCACGGTGAGACATTTGAGAGGAAAAGGGAAAAGGCTGAGCATGTTGCTACAATTCAGTATCCTGGGTTTGGCAGCATCCCAAAAGCTACAGAAGGGGAACAGGTTGCGGCCGGGTGGCCCCCATGGTTGTCAGCAGTGGCGGGTGAAGCTATCAGGGGATGGTTACCACGGCGGGCAGATTCTTTTGAGAAGTTGGACAAAGTATGTCTCTTTTTCTCTTTGGTTACAAAATTACATTGATTTTATATGAAGAAATTGCACATATTTGTTAATAAGTAATTATTGTCTTTTGGATGTTCTCTTCATAAGCTCCTCAACCTAGAATTTGTTTATCATGTAAGTTCAAATTTTGAAAAACAGTGTTTCTGTATGAATTTCAATACTGTTAGCTCATTAGAAAGTGTAACTTCTTGAATGGAATTAATGAAAAATATGCTCATTAAAGATGGAGTCAATGAAGAACAGTTAGCTCAGAAGGCACTTTGATAGGTGTGCAAGATCTGTTAACTAATGTGGTATATGATGTGCTATTATGTTGGCCTTGTTCAACCAATTGAATTTTCTCAGATATCATGACATGGATGATTTTGTAATTTTTTGCTTCAAAGAACAACAAGCGCTTCCAATTTATCGGAGCTCCTAAATTATTGGGTTTTAAAATTTTTACTTGCAAGTTTTTTTGGTAATATTCAGTTGAGGAAATAGGATAACGTTGAACATGATGACATTGACCAAGTCCACTGGAAATTGGATTTGTAAGAGAGTCGAACGCAACCATGTGGCATAACCTCCAGCATGCCTCACTAGGTAAAATAGTGCAATACCTACCACGAGACAAGGCCTTATAGGGATTTTTTTAACCCTAGAAATAGGGTAGAGCACTTTTTTCTTCGTTTTTGACTTAAATGACTTTTGTTATCTTCTTTTTAGGAAAGTTTCAACTCTTTTTTAGAGGTTCTTACCTAACATGTGAAGTACTATAATGAAAGGCAAAGACCTAGGATATTGTGCCCATTTAATCTTTTTACAGAAATCTGGAGTGATTTTTGTTTTTATTCATTTTTAGAATACTAGAAATAGCAAATCATCAGGGTAGAAATAGCAAATCATCAGGGTAACAATAATACAATAGAGAATGAGAATGTAGGAATGAACCTAATGAATGGGACGGATGTTAGAGTGTGTGTAGGAATGAGCCTAATGAGTGGGAAGGATGTTAGAGAGTGTGTAGGAATGAACCTAATGAATGGGAAGTACGTTAGCATAGAAAGGCTAATGCATTCAATCAAATAGAGAATGGCGGTCCTCAATTCAAATATAATAATATATTATCTTTTGAGCATGTTTCTCTTCCAATCCTTTAGAAACCCTTACTCCCTAAAAGTTCCCCTTCACAGATGTTCAATACAAATATATTTTATTTTGAGCATCTTTCTTTTCCATCCCATGAGCTGCCTCACCTCACTACCACAAAACCTTAAACAAAAGCACCTTTTCACAGATGCTCTATTTCTTTGAATCTTCAACTGGAATTTCATGCATCATGTCACATTTTGAAGTCTAAAACGTTGGTATGGATCCCATGATTATCAACAAGTCTTTTTTGTCCAAAGATAAGCGTCTATGGTAGTCTTTAGGGTCTATATCTACCTCTTTAAATGTTTTATTTGTTGTTAGGATCTGAGGGCATTTTGGTAATTTTCAAATTGGATTAGAATTGGATTAAATCCATTGATGTTGTTTTGGGTCAAATTATTATATGAGTCATTATATATTGGTTTCTTGGGTCTTCACATATCGGTTTTGTTGGGCCTAGAATAGCTTGTAGTAAAAAAGGTCAAGGTTTCTTATGTTGAAGTTATAGTGTTATGGCCAACCAGAGGAAATGAATCCATGTAGTTGAGTTTGGGTAATCAGGATAGAATCTTTTGAGTTGAGATGAATCATAGTTGGGTAGGACTGAACACAAGACTAGAGTTTTGATATTGCATGTTGGGTGATGAAGTCTAACCCTTGTAAGGGTAAACCTTAAGGATTCTAGGTAAGGTAGTGTTTGCTGGGGCTTTTCAAAGTCCTTCCCAACTATAGAAGTCATTTTGGAAAAGGAATTTCGGTTTGTTTGGTGAAGATAACAAGAAGGCATTCCGCCAAAAGTTATGGGCTCTAAAGCTTGTTTGAAAGAAGCTACTTGGGGTGGTTTTGAAATCAACTCACGAAGTTCGAAGTTCACTTAAGTGAAATTTTATAATTCCCTATACTATACTTATTTTTTTAATGAGTTGTTCATAATACCCCATATCTCAAGACACTTGCAACCTGTAGCAGTGTAACCTATAACTTTTGCAATTTCAGCTTTGTATCGTGCGTACCTATCACATTGGTATCTATGTCTAGGCCAATAGTGGCCTCGACTGGAGGAGTTGAAGGAACAATAGTGGCAGCCCCATATTCGGCTAGAGGTGCCAAGAGGTGTAGGGAGTGGGTTTGTTAGGTGGGAGCTTGAAGTTGAAGTGCTGAAAGGACAGGTTTCTAATGCTGGGTTGGATGTTGAGCCACACTGAATGGTTACAATTTTGGGTGAGTCCCAAAACCAGAACTAAGTACGACCCACTAAAACCTCCTAGAATCAAAATAGGGTTTTCACCCATACGGCCTTCCCTTGCTCCCCCTTCGTACTACCGGGTTTGTGTTATCGTTGCAAAGACATCTACTATTGCCATCCCATTAGATCAACCAATCAAAACACATTATCAGGAGTGATCCGCTCTCAAATTTTACAAATAGTTGAATAAACTAATCAAAACACACACATAATCTGGAATGATCCACGCCCAAATTTGTAAATAGTTAAATTTTCTTATAATGTTTTCTCAGTTATTGTATTTTTGAATTAAATTTATATGAAAATTGATATAGGTGAGTAAATCATAATGCTAATGGACAATATTGACAGCGAGAAGCTATTTAGCATGTCTGAAATGTTGCTGCCCAATGTACCTGTACATAGTGAAAGCACCTCTTGATTTCAAAGGAGTTTCAAAATAAACGTTAAGGCCTGGTTTGGAAACTGCTTTCAAGTTGACCCAATGATTGCTTCAAGAAACAACTCTCCATTTTATCCCTACCACTATATCATTCCAAGCCTAGTCAATCCTGACTTTTTCCTTTAAGTTGGGCCTTATTCAACATAAAAACCCCTATGTAGTGTAATTTCCCCCTTATTCTCCTTTTTCTTTTGTCATTGAGTTGTACTTTGTTCAGGGCTCTGGAAGAATTCAATAGCTTATATCTAGCTTATTGGATGGAATGTTTTCACTACTGAAATGTAGTTGATCACATTCATTTCTCAGTCTAATGGCCTCCTTTTTTGCAGATTGGCCAGGGTACTTACAGTAATGTTTATCGGGCTCGTGATCTTGATCAAGGAAAGATTGTTGCTTTGAAAAAAGTGAGGTTTGATAACCTGGAGCCTGAGAGTGTCCGTTTCATGGCAAGGGAAATTCACATTCTTCGTAGGCTTGATCATCAAAATATTATAAAATTGGAAGGTCTAGTTACATCAAGGATGTCTTGCAGCCTGTACCTTGTTTTTGAGTACATGGAGCATGACCTAGCAGGGCTTGCTTCACACCCTGGCCTTAAGTTTACTGAATCACAGGTACTCTTTTTTTTTTTTTTTTAACTGCTATTTTTATTACTGTTTATAGTAAAGTTTTCTCTCATACTTCTGTAACTGTACATGCATTTTTAGAGCCCCTCCAACTGTAGCATGATATTATTTTACCAATCTTGTATATCGTTGTACTTGGAATAGATTACGGACCGATACTAATGTCCTATAAACTCTTGAGGTTCTTTAAGGTTTGTGTTTTTCATTTTCATTTTTGCTTTGGAAAACCTCAGGTTTTGTTTTAAGGTTTGTGTTTTTCATTTTCATTTTTGCTTTGGAAAACCTCAGGTTTTGTTTGCTCATTTGCAGGTTAAATGTTATATGCAACAACTTTTACGTGGACTTGATCATTGTCATAGTCGTGGTGTTCTCCATCGTGACATAAAAGGTTCCAACCTTCTAATTGACAATAATGGCATTTTGAAGATTGCAGACTTTGGCCTGGCAAGTTTTTATGATCCTCATCGAAGTCAACCATTGACAAGCCGTGTTGTGACTCTCTGGTATCGTCCACCGGAGCTTCTGCTTGGTGCTACTTATTATGGGACTGCGGTGGATTTATGGAGTACTGGTTGCATCCTTGCGGAATTGTATGCTGGCAAGCCTATTATGCCAGGAAGAACAGAGGTATCTTGTCATTAAATTTTTTTATGCAACATGTACAGCTGATGCTCTTTACAGCCTGTTTTTGTTCAGTTCTGGATGGTGCAATTTATCATTTTTTTCATTTGAGAGTTGAAGTAGCGGTAAGTGTTGTTTAACTGCTCATGAATTATCTGAAGTGAGGATAGGAGAGTCTGTTTTCTGCAAAACCAGAGAGTGGATGGACAGTGGGTGCCGGAGGGAAAAGATAAAGGACATGATAGAGTAAATCAATAGATGGTCCACCTGGTGCTCTGTGAACACATGCATGTTTAGGAATGAACAACGTTCTGGCATTGAGGTGCAAACTACCGAAGTACCATCAACCCTGTGAATCTGTGATCATCTAGAACCTTGGAATGAAAGTCTAGACATTGTTCTGTTCTTTCTGGAAAAATCCTCTCTTGAAGTGGATGTTTGGTGGACAAATTGTTTGATTGAGAATGTATATGGAATGAGATGTTCAAACCATTCTCTCTGTCTCTCTCTCTTATTTGAGATAAGTATGTTGAAACCATTCTATCAATTGAGTTAAGCCTAATACTGAAACCTGGAAGCAAAAAACAAAGTTTTGTTTGGCAAAGAGTTCTGTCTACTCCATTGTCACCAGGAGTGAGTTAACTAAGACCATTTTGAGCAGTTGATCTCCAGAGAAAGAATTCGTCCGTAGCATATTTGAATTTTGTGACCGTGCCTAAAGTTTGACTATTTTTGTGATTATATCATTGAAATTTATATACGCCTCCCATGAGGTCCTCTTGCGTATTGTGTTGAAGCTCAAAGAAAAGCACCTTATTTGGCTTCAATAAGTGATCCCTTGAGACTTTCAATGTGCTACTTCTTCATAATTATTTTCACAATTGGTCTTTGTTTGTGGTGGCTAAACATCTCGTGTGCCTCCTAATTTTTGTGGGAGTGCACAATATTCTATTCACTAGAAGATACTTTAGCCTTCGTTATCTTCCCAAACAAAGGAAACTTCATTGGCAACATCACGATTCTATGGGAGGGTGATGAGACCACCCCCTTGGAATCACAAGTCTGTTCATCATTGAATAATGAGTCTATTCATCATCATAAGGTTTATTATGTGATATTTTTTGTGTATCTATTGTTATAGGGAAACAAAAAATCTTTGCATGTTAATGAGCCATAGTTTCAAAAGCATTGGAAGCTTTTACTTGTTTTGAAGCAAAATAATTTTTAATATGATCATTGGGCATGGAATTAACTTACATATTATCTTCTTAAATGATACTTGGCAATATTATTAAGGTCGGACTCTTGGCCTCATGGTGACTTGGGCTTGTAAAGGTGTCCTACAATGTGTTTAAACACCATTGGATGCATTACCTATGTGCTCCTTTTTGTTTATTACGTCTTTTCTTTTCTGTCATTTATATGAATTGAATGTTGTTTGTAAGTTTGTAGTTTCTGCCTTGTAGGTTGAGCAGTTGCATAAAATTTTTAAGCTTTGTGGCTCACCCTCTGAGGAATACTGGAGAAAGTCAAAGTTGCCTCATGCTACCATTTTCAAGCCCCAACAGCCTTATAGACGCTGTGTTGCAGATACATTTAAGGACTTCCCTGCACAAGCCTTAGAGCTTATGGAGACCCTACTTTCCATAGATCCCGCTGATCGTGGTTCTGCGGCTTCTGCTCTACATAGTGAGGTATGAACTATGAAGTTTTTTAAAAGTTGAATTTTCTGGAATGCTCTTGGTTCTCTTGAAGATTTACCCTTCTATATGGCTGACTTTGGGAGCACTAAGTTAAAATGATGTGAACAATAGGCATGTTGCTTGCCTTCCTGTCAATTTGGATAGAAAGTATAACATCTACAATTTAATCCAAGAGTATGAGGGTAACTTCATTTAAGAATCAGAAACATAAAAGTGCTTAAAGGGCAAACCACAAGGTGTAGAAGTACATACCTCCTAACCTTTGTTATAATTTGCCAAAAAAAAAAAAAAAGGTGGCTGCCCTCAAACTTAAACCTGCAATCTCGCACTTGGCAGCCCAAACTTCTACCATTGCACCCAACAATGGCCCCTTGGCAGTATTACATATTTGATATTCAATAAACTTTCTGGTCTGACTTTGTCCATTAAGTAATAGGTCAGGGGTCAGTTTGCAAATATGGTTAGTGACACGTATTTTTTGTGTCTGCTTCCCCAAATCATTGTGAACTTTGGAAATAGCTTTAGTAAACTGTGGTCATTTTGTCTGTGTAGAGCTCTTGATGCTTTTTTCTTTTATCATTGAACTCTCTCTCTCTCTCTCTCTATTATGAGTATTGTTGAATTATTTTTGTTTGGAACTAATTATTATTCTCATTTCTGGTCATTTAGTAAATTACAGAAATATTTTTCCTTGGCTGATATATATTTTCTCATTGAGGAACTTGTTTCTTTCTTTTTGTGGAGTCTTTGACGTGTCTTGGTCTATTCTCTCCAGTTCTTTACAACAAAACCACTTCCTTGTGATCCTTCAAGCTTGCCAAAGTATCCTCCCAGCAAAGAGTTTGATGCAAAAGTACGCGATGAAGAAGCCAGAAGGTGCATCTTGTCATATAATGTTAATTCATGTTATTCATTTAAGCACATCTCTGACATTTCAAACCAGTTATGCCTCTCGTTATATTTGAACTTGAAGGTGGCTTATTCTGAATTCTAATGTCCTTGATTTAGCTGTGCAATTGTTATGCTAATTAAATTTAGATGATTTTGAAAACACAGCCATATACAAACATTTATAGATTGTATGTGACATTGGTATTTAATGCAACATTCACTTTAGATCTGTGCATTATGTGTCCCAAAATTAATCATGTCCCAAGAATGTTTGTTGGCTATTGGTTTTGATTCTTTGAAAGTTAATGTTTATCATAAAATAGCCCTGATTACACTTGCAAAATGCAATCAGCTATTTGTTAGTCTGATTGTTGGATTTTGGTGATTTACATGGCTTCATCCCGTGAATAAGAAAATTTAACATTCATTTTTCTGGTCTTTATTTTTCACACTTCACTATGAAAGGGATGGCTGGTGAGAGAGAGGTTTTATGTACTGATAAAGTTGTGTTTGTCGGAAACTGTAGACAAGCAGCAGCAGGAAACAAGGGCCACAGATATGACCCAGAAAGGAGAGGAGGTAGAGAGTCTCGAGCCGTTCCAGCACCAGATGCCAATGCTGAATTAGCCTTGTCAATGCAGGTAAATATTTTCATAATGTTAATACAGTGTTCCTTCTGTATCTGCATTTCTTCTCACCCTTATTACCCAAAGACTGTTTGGATCAAGGCTTTGGGATGGAAAGGGAAAAGTGAAGGAAATATAAATGAAAAAGAGGCTAAATTTTTCTCCGTTTGTCCCTTTTTCCTTTCTCTTTCCAAATACCTCTACCCAAATTCATGATCCAAACATATGCTTAACTTGCTGACCTAGATGCTTGCCAGATCGTTGTTTAATTGTTGCTACTATAAAGTGCCACATTTCCCTAATTCTCTGACCCATGTCACTGCCTGTTCGCATACACTTGTTTTTGGTATTTTTTACTTTATACTGCAATGATCATAAAGTGGTGCTTTCTGATCACAGAAACGACAAGGTCATGCCAATTCCAAAAGCCGGAGTGAGAAGTTCAACCCTAATCAGGAAGAAGTTGCTTCTGGCTTTCCTATTGACCCACCTAGGCCATCTCAAGCTATAGAAGAAGCAAGCATTGATCCCCATGGACATATTCACAAGAGAGCCTCCCACTCTGGGCCACTGGTTCACCGGGCTGCATGGTCAAAGGCTGCGAAAAACATGGAAGAGGCTCCAAAGATTTCAACTGGGGCTGACTTGTCAATGGTTTCCAGCTTAGTATCAGCAAGAAATTTGTTGTCTGAAGATCGCAGAGAGAAATCAGGTCCTTCCCAACAGGAAGGTCAAAAATTAATCAGATTCCCAGGTTCTTTCAAGGAGGCTTCTGAATCCATGATGAAGCAGGATCAAAAGATTCGCACGCAGAGTGTAGCGGGTCCTCATCAGAATGAAGATGAAAGAACCAGTAGCAAAGACCCAGTTCTTGTAAGTACTACTACAGATTCCACCATCCACACACCATTTCCACCTAAGTAGCATGGACACACGACACGACATAGACATACTGACTTGTCGATTTTCAAAAAAAATAAGACAAGACACAGTTGGGGACACGTTAAAATTTTATATTCTTACAAATTTATTATGACATATGACTCGTGTGAATATTTTATTGAAGGGCAATGAAAAGTATGTAATATAATACTAAGACTTAGCACATGCTATATTATCTTATTTGAGTCACAATCATCTCATTTGGATCACATCATCTCTCTACCAGATTACTTTAAACCCAACCTATATTTCACATTATTTGTAAAAAGTCCAAAAGCATACTAATTTAGCACATGCCAAACACCCTCTAATTACATTAAAAAGTTATATATTTCATAACTTAAACATCCAAATATCATTCACGTAACATTACATTTTAAAGAATGCAAGACAAGTATAGAACATTGCAATACATATGATGTATTCATCTTATAAATGTTTTGGAGGATTCAATAAGTTTCGCTGAAGTTTGTCCAAAGTGTCAGTAAAGTGTCTAATATTATGAATTTGATTTTTTTTTTAAGACACATTAAAAAAGTGTCCAACATGCTTTTAAGAGTGTCGTTGTCATAAAGGGGTGTGAGACACAACAGGTTAACTCTACAAGTGTCCACACACACGCACACCACCCTTCCCCTTCCGTTGTGAGAAGTGGGTTGTGAAACCAATCCTCAATTATGAAGCGGGCACTCATTGTTATTATCATTACATATGTATATATATATGAATTTTGATGGTAATTCTTGGTTTCTGAGGACTTGCATTATGTTTGTGTATGTTTCTCCAGCTTGGATATGGGTCAAAGGGAAACAAAATCCACTACTCGGGGCCACTGCTAGTTCCATCAGGGAAGATGGATCAGATGCTGAAGGACCATGACCGCCATGTCCAAGAGGCAGTAAGACGAGCACGCCTCGACAAGGCCAAAGCGAGGAAAGTTCAGGTTGAAGGGAATCAATTACCAACCAATTCAGTATTTGTTTCTGGTCGTTGATCCAGTTCAAGTAATCCTGATTAAGATAAGCAAGAGAGAATTATGGAGAAAAATTCAGCCATGATCTTCTTGTGAAATGAGTTTGGGGGCGGTTTTTGTATAGGTGTGGTTCCACGAAGGTTTGCTGGTAATCAAATTTTAGTTGTTAATCCTTATAGTTATCTAGGACAGCTCTCTCTCTCTCTCTCTCTCTCTCTCTCTCTGAGCAATCTATCAGGTGAATGCTCTTTGTACTCTGTTACTGCAACCTGTATGATGGGCTATATTCATCTAGAGTTTATTAATTAGCCATAAGCTGTAGAGTGATCTTAGAAGAAACGACATAATTTGTTTAATGGGGACATGTGAACAATTAATTCCATAGTTGATTTCAGCTCAATGGAGATGGGGAGGCTGCAATTAGGTATTTTTATGGTAATCTTGATATAAAAGGCCTAGTTTCTTGTCGCGGTGGATGATCAGTTGTTTTATGACAGGTTACCAATATTGTATCTCTTGAATTGCAGGAAAGCTAGAAGTATTAGATGTGGAATAAATTCAGTCTACATATTTTATTTTTGAGGTACTTTTTCTTGGCATGTGTTATTGGTGCTGTAAATATTATTAGCGTTTGTGCAGCTCACACAAAAATATAATTCTAGAGATTGTCTTTAAAATGTGACATTAAGTTTTTTTTGCACTAAAAGTAGTTTTGCAATAATTTCATAAAATTTGAGGTCTTTTCGCACTACTTTTTTTTGACTAGGGATTCTGAGTTTGTTTGTTGTTTGTTGTTTTTTTTTTGTCCTTAGCGTCTTCTATAATTGTCTTTCCTGTTTGGTGTAGCTTATTGAATTGGTTAGAATTTTTTAATTTTGATAATCTGTGTTGTGTTTGGTTTTCTACTTATAAAATATTTTTTTTTAAAATAAATTGAAATTTTGATTATCTGAAAGCTGGAAAAAAATGTTTATTTTATTATTTTTTTTTTCAACAAAAAAATTTAATATTCTATTCATGGGAATAATTCATTGTGAACTGGACAAACACAGAACGAGCTCTGCAACAAACCCAATGATGCATCCTCCTTACTTCTCTACCCCCATGACTCCATGAGGACTAAAGATAAAAAAAGCAATTGTCTTTGAACTTTGGTTTTTTATTTTTATAAAATTGTACCAAATAGACTCATTAGGCCATGTGATTGCACGGAGGCATTGATTATTTAGGTGGTGTTTGACATGCATTGCGATATCACATGTTATTTTAGTATATTATTTTATTTTGATTATAATTATTTTATTTAGGTCATATTATTTTTTATCACATCATTTCAAACACAATTTATATTTCATATTCTTAAAACATATATTTATTTAGATTATTCTAAACACCTTCTTTATTCTATGTTATACCCTCTCCTAATCAAATATAGTAAAAATGATCTCTTAAAATATTTTCTTGTCCTATATCCTAAAATATTACATGCGCTCCTCACCCACCCAAGTAAGCTAGAAGACATTGGTTAGTAAATGATTATCTACTCAACTAAGAATTTTAAACAGATTAATATTAATCAAGATGACGGGGGTTCTGTTTCAACACACCAAAAAATTTTAGTGTGTCAAAATAGAAATTTTGAGATTTTAATATTTTAAAATTTAGATTTTGCACAAGAGAAGGGGTTGCACTGGAGGTGATTTGCAATAGTAGGAGTGGCTAACAACTGTATTGGCTGAATAATGCTATATGTACTAATTAATGTACGTTAGTGTACTAATAGATGATATTGTATAATTTTAGAGATTCTAGTTATTTGTAATTTGTATAATAAATAGGATCATTCATGATATCATAATACTAGTTAGTATACTAGTGTGTATATTAATTGGTGCATGTAGCACCACAGGCATTGGCTTGGTGTTTTGTGAAGATGTGTATTAAGAGTATCTTTAGGGCATGTTTGACTGACAGGATTAGAGCATGAGATTGAGATTATTAATCCGTGGGCCCAATAATCTTGTATTTGTTTTAAAATTTTGTTTCAGGATTATTAATCCAATAGATAATTAATCCAACAAATTTTTAGGATTATTAGTAATGGGGTAGGGGTGAGATTATATATCCTGAGTTAGGAAATAAAAAAAAAAAACTCTTTTACTTTTATATGTTTTCTTATCCCATACAAATCAAACAATGGACAAGAGAATACTTTATCCTACTAATCCAATTGGATAGTGAATACCACACTAATTTGATACGATTGTTAATACCTTCACTATTAGTCTTGTGAATCAAACATGATCTTAATGACAAATGTTATAATAGTATTGTCATTGTTAAATTATGGCAATGAATAGTAAAAAATAGATAGAAAATTGCAATGGTGCTCTAATGGTTCAATTGTCATTTTGGCATATAAATTGGTATGTTCGGACGACTGTCTGATCGACTAGGCGGTAGTCGGTTAGTCGTTCAAACACATTAGTTTCTGTGTTTCTTTTGAAAAAATGATGGGTGGGAGAGAGGGATGTTTTGTTGGGAGGATAGAGGGAAGGAGAGAGGTGTTTCTTGATGATTTGACATAAATAATAGCATTCAAAGCTTGTGTTAAATTTGACACAAGTTTTAACATTTTTTAAATTTGGTAGTTGCTATTTCTTATCATTAGAGCACAATGCTTTATTGTTGTTACCAAATTATGGCAATAATAACTCCAATGATTTGTTATTGGAGATACTCTAAGAAATTTTATTTAGAATTTTGTTTGAAAGAATAATTTAATTAAGAAATAAAATCATAATTAAAAAAATAACACTATACATGTAAACTGAACATTTTTAATGTGTGATATTTAAGCTACTCAAGATGACACGCCATTCCATTCAAGGCAACAAAAAAACTTTGTATTGTACATCATTTTTTTAGTATAATTCCATTTGCATAATACAAAAATCTCAATATACAATATTTGTTATTTAGATATAAATTTTTAAATAAAAATTAAATATTTTGACATAAACTTTTAAATAAAAAATAATTATTTGAACATATATAGTTGAAAAAAAGGATAATAGTTAGAGAAAAGGATAATTTCCCTATTAAACATAACTATTGTTTCCTGTTAGCAATGTTTTAAAAACCAACTTCTGAGCTAAAATATCTCCAAAAACACATTTTGACATTTATCAACAAAATTATTTTATCTGATTCATTTTCAGAACTTAAAACTTTATCACTAAAAAACCCAAAAAAATAGTAAAAAAAAAAGAAAAGAATCAAGATGGAGAGGGAAGCAGCAACAGCAACAGCAACAGCAACAGGAACAGCAGCAGCCAGGTTGAGGATAAAAAAGCAGGTGTTGAGGATAAGGTCCCAAACGCTACTCAGCTTAGGTTCGGAATTCGGTTCGGCTCAAATATAGTTACCGAGCCTACGTCCATTTTGTTCTCACTTCCACGTGTTGCTCTATCTATCTGTCGTTCACCACCGCCACGTGTTACTTCTTTGTTGTTATCATAACTCCACACCACACCATCACTCCTATACACTCTCTCTCTCTCTACACCCCCACCATTTCCATTCCATTCTCTCTCTAAAATCACCATTGTTAGGGTTTAATCTTCTCTACACTAATTTCAAATTCTAGGGTTTCAATCGTCTCGTCTATGCTTCAATTTTCCAATTCTTAATGGTTAGTTGCGAAGATTGCTACTCTCTTCTCTGTCAAATGAATATACTTGAATTTGATGATCAATTTTTTTTTTTTTTTTTCGATTTTCAGCTCTGAAAGCTCATGGCAGAGTCCAGAAATGTGAAGGAGTTTTCGTTGGTTGAACGTGCGATTCTAGGGTTTTTGTAGATCGACGTTAACGAAGAAACAAAAGGTGAGTGAGAGTGCTGATAATGCATATATTATATTATATTATATTTAAAGGGCTAGAATAGTTTAACCTAAGTTGATTAGTTGGTAATCTTATTTTAATTTTGTTCAATGTGTATGCCGATACTTGTTCATTTCATTGGAACTCGAAGATCTCGTTAAAATAAAAATTTATGAAGATCCTCTCTTTCTCACGTGCTGGTTAATTTTTTATTTAATTTAATTTTTTTTTTTTTGGGTTTGAATTTTTGTCTCTGATGGTCCACTTGGTTGATCGAATTTACCATTTTGCCTCTGGGTTCAGAGGACATGGTTGCGCCACGTACGCACCTGGAATAAAAGCGGGAACGAGTGGGTTGTAGATAACGAGGGACACCCAACGTTTCCACAAGAAGTAATTAAAAATTTGAGCTTTCAAACCATTACTAACGGTCTGTGTTTTTTATGGTGGAGATTTTTCTTTTTCTTTTCTTTTCTTTTCTTTTGTTTTTTCTTGCACTGTTTGGATGAAGAAAATGCTTGGGAATTTATGAGGCTGTGGTGCTTCTTTTGTGGGGGAATCCCCACTCTCTGTTGTGAGTAGAGCTTTTTCTGTGTGGCTCTGTTTGCTAGTTGGATTGGGTGAAACAGAAGAACCTACTCACGTGGTGGTAGTGTTTCCTTTGAATCTTGATACCCCTGCCCTTTCTCCCTCTCCATATTTGTGCTTGTTTGTGTGTATACATATATATGGGTCTCTTAATTATATGGATGTAAATATTCATGTCTGTTTATTTGTCCGTGTATATATATATATATTTATGATGTTCTTGGCTTGAGTCTCTTAAAAGTAATTTAAGCATCCCATTTTTGGTAATTTACTGGATTTTCTTTGATGGGTTTCTGTTGGTGGGGGTGTTTGTTTTATATAGGATTAAAACTCTGTGTCTAGTGCTGATTCATATGGATTTTATGCCCAGCAGGGAAGTTTTTCTATATGAAGTGAGCTTCTGGACATGATATGTTGATGGGTTCTCATGCCGATTCTCATTAAGATGTGATTAGTTATTCAAAATGATAGTGGTGGAGGAATGTGGTAGAACTAATCTAAGAGCTCCTTCATCTCTGAGTCGTGTATATTCCATCCTTCATGCTGCTATAGGTGGATAATAATGGAGGGTTCATCTGAGTCTGGTTGGCAGAAGTCCGATAGTTCTAGGGGATTCAATACTTCTGCAGTCTCAGATAGAAACCCACAACTGTTTCGTAACAGAAGAATCAGGTCCTCAGGAGATGCATCACATGATTCAGGCTTTATAACAGGAAGAAAGGAGAGAGATAGGGCTGTGTTGGCACGCAGAGATCTCCACAGAAACCTTGTTAGCTGTTCTGGAGTTTGTGAGGATGAAGTAGGTATGGACCCAGTTGTTTGTGCCATAGAATGGAGTGATGTTAGCTTGAGACAATGGTTGGACAATCCAGAACGATCAGTTGATGCTATAGAATGCTTGCACATATTTACACAAATAGTAGAGATCGTTAACCTAGCACATTCACAAGGAATTGTTGTTCATAATGTGCGGCCTTCCTGCTTTGTCATGTCCTCTTTCAACCATGTCTCCTTTATTGAGTCTGCATCTTGTTCGGATTCAGGATCAGATTCCTTGGAGGATGGGTCAAACAGGGATTCAGGATCAGATTCCTTGGAGGATGGGTCAAACAGCCAAACAGCGGAATTTAAGGGGTCAACTTCACCTTTGCCCCATGATTCCCATCAACAGATAAGTCAAGTTGGAAGAGAAACTTCTCAACTTGAGATAAATCAAACAAATGCTTCCCACTTGGTATCTGAAACTAGTTGCTTGCAGTCAAGTTCTGCCTACCTAATGCATAATTCTTTGGAAGTAGGCAGTAATGTTGAACAAGCAGAAGAAAAGAAGCACCCCTTTCCCATGAAACAGATTTTGCTTATGGAAACAAATTGGTACACCTGTCCAGAAGAGCTTGCCGGTGCGCCAAGTTCCTGTGCATCTGATATTTATCAATTAGGGGTCCTCCTTTTTGAGGTCCGTAATCTAGCTGTCGTTCTTCACTTACTATCACTCTAAACTGGATGAAATGTTCAGTGCTGTTACCCTTTTTTTTTTTTTTTTTTTTTTAATAAAAGTAAAAGTAAATATACAACTATATAAATAATCCTATGAAGCACGGGTGCGGGTACGAGTACGGTACGGGTACGAGTACGGGTACGCCGATACGGCAAAATCCCAAAAAAGTAGGGTACGGGTACGGCTGCGGTACGCCGATATTTTTTTATTTTTTTTTTATTTTTTATAATTATGGTTAAAAGATTCAACCTACAAATTGAAGTTAAATAAAAAAATAACTAATAATAATATTAATAACCTATAAACCTACATTTTCATCTCTAACTTTTTATTATTAATAACTAATAATAATATTTATGATTATTACCATTTATGATTATTAGCATTTTCATCTCTAATATTTATTAGCATTTTCAGTATTAATAACTAAAGAAGAAACAAGAAAAAAAATAAATAAATAAAGATAATAACTAATAATAATATTTATGATTATTACCATTTATGATTATTAGCATTTTCATCTCGATTATTTATTATTAATATTTATTAGCATTTTCAGTATTAATAACTAAAGAAAAAACAAGAAAAATAAATAAATAAATACTGATGAAGAGATATACCTGCGTCGAAGTCGAGGGTCGAGGGTCGAAGTCGATATCTGGGTCGAAGCCGAAGTCGAAGACGAGGGTCGAATCTCTGGGTCGAAGTCGAAGACGATCTCTGCTGTTTCGAAGTCGATCTTTGGTGTTTCGAAGTCGATCGATCTCTGCTGTTTCGAAGTCGCAGACAAGGGTGAGTGAGGGTCGAAGTCGATCTCTGCTGTTTCGAAGTCGCAGACGAGGGTGAGGGTCGAAGATGAGGGTGAGGGTCGATCTCCGTTTAGAAGTCACAGAAGAGGGAGATGGAGATGGTCGAAGTCGTCTCTCTTTGCTTCGATGAGATTAGGGCAACAAAAGTGATGAGATTAGGGCAGTATACACATTTTTTCCTTTTTTTTTTTTTAAATTTTTCTTAATATTGCTCCGGTACCCCTCAATTTTTCAGAAAATTTGGTTTCTGCCCCCGCCGTACCCAAAACGCACCAAAGGCGTACCCCTGCCGTACCCGAGCCGTACCCAACTGAGGCAGAAGTACCCGACTAGTTTTTCCCATACCCGGTACGCGTGCAGCCGTACCGGTACGCGTACCCGCACCCGGTAAGTACCCGGTGCGTGTACGGCACTATTTTTGGAGTACCCGTGCTTCATAGCTCCTTTGTCACCTTCATTTTCAGAAAGTGGCTTTTCCCAAACGCCAACATGTGTGCTTGCTATTGGCGGTCTAGATTTTTATAATTGCAGCAAGCAATAATTTGTATTTGTAACTTCATGAAGAATGTGATGTAGAGTATAAGAAGCTCATAGAAGGTTAAATTCAGAAAAGTGATGATACATGGACATTGGCATGATTTTATAGAGAAACTGATAGAAATCTTCTATAATTAGGTTTCTAGTATTATTAGAGTCATATTTTATTATTATTATTTTTTTGTTTTCTAGGATTTTTAAGATTAGGGGTATTTTGGTAATTTTATATTTACTAACATTGGTTATATGGGTCGGCCATGGGTCGTTTTGTGGGTCAAGTTATTTAATTGAGTTTTATTTATGTTTCTTATTTGGTTTTAAATTAGTTTTGGAAGTCTAAGATATTATAATAGTTTTTTTTTTTGATTCTAGTTGGTTTTGGAAGTCTCTAAAGTCTATATAAAGTCATGTAATGCCTCTAATTCAATAGAGTTGATATTTTATAAAAAGTTGAGAGTTTTGAAGCTTTTTTAGGGTTTGTGTGATGCAACCCAACTCTAGGTGTGATGCCTAAGGGATTCTAGGAGTGATTTCTAGTTTTCTTCATCTTTTTCTCTTTTTCTATTGCCTCTCTTCACAGATTACTACTTCCAGCCCATAGGCAGTCTTTTTTCTGTCACAAATTCTTGTTTCCTTAAGCCCAAACCATTCATAACCAAACCTTAACCATCCCTAGCGTTATTTCACTAAACCTAACCCTAAGTTAGCTTAAAACTTGCTTCAAACCTGTGTGTTCTGCATCAGTTCCCTTGGTTGGAAAAAACTCGACCTCGAGTTTTGAACTGTTAAAGTATAAGCAGCCATAAACTTTGAAATTGCATCCGCGACTTCATGTTAAAATCTTTAAGTTGTTGCTGCCTTTTATTTGCTGGAGATAGGAACAAAAATTTTGATATATTGATCTTGTCCTTCATGATACTAAATATGTTGGGAATGACAAAATTAATAGAAGGAATTGAAACATTCTTGAATTGATCCAAATTTTGGGCTGCAAAATTCATTCCACGCATTCTGTTCTTGTTTGGCTCTATTGGAGAGAATGTAGGCAACAAATTGGTGACTTGTAAAGCCATATTTTGCTCAGCACTAGCAGCTGGTTGTGTCAGTTCTTTAGTCCCTACAACTCCCATAGCATCTAATTCCTCGCTTTGGACGCTAGCCTTTTCTTGAGTAATAACTAGATCTTCTTGAGGTGCTTTTGGATCATCAATAAGTGCCTTGTTATCCTTCAAAATCTGGTCATCTTTCGTTTTGGGCAAAATTGATTGTTTTCTTTCACTTTTGACTTCAGTCGCACATGTTTGACAATAATTTTTGATTTTGGTGTTACTTGTGATGCATGTCTCACACAATTTTGTGGTTGTTGTAGCCAATCCTCCTTTTGTAGTAGGCTTCAAAACTGTAGAATTCTCCCTAAATTCAAATTGCATAGCCGTTTCAATAGCATCTTCGAGGTCTTCCAAATATGCATGAGACATCTCTTCTTTAATTACAGATCTCAACCCACTTTTAAAACGAGCAATAGTCATCCGTTCACTTTCTTCCACTCCAGATTTGATAATAATTCCTTGTATTTTCTTGTGTAATCAATTACACACATATTACCTTGCTTAAGAGTATACAATTGATCAAGAAAAGCATCTTGAAGATCCCTCAGATGAATATTTTCTCTAAGAAGCGCTTTACCTGCTTCCCAAGTCAATCCACTTGTATTAGATCTCCCACAATGTGAGAACATCATGGCGAAACCTTCAGCTCTGATACCAAACTGATGCAGTACACGTAGGTTTGAAGCAAGTTTTAAGCTAACTTAGGGTTTGGTTTAGTGAAATAAAGCTAGGGGTGGTTAGGGTTTGTTTATGAATGGTTTGGGCTTAAGGAAACAAGAATTTGTGAGAGAAGAAAGATTGTCTATGGGTTGGAAGTAGTAATATGTGAACAGAGGCAATAGGAAAAGAGGAAAAGATGATGAAAATTAGGAATCCCTCCTGGAATTCCTTAGGCATCACACCTAGGGTTGGGTTGCATCACACAAACCCTAAAGAAGCTTCAAAGCTCTCAACGTTTTATAAATATCAACTCTATTGAATTAGAGGCATTACATGGCTTTATATAGACTTTAGAAATTTCTTAAACAAACTTAAATAAAAAATGGAAACCACTATAATATCTTAGACTTCCAAAACTAATTTAAGACCAAATAAGAAATATAAATAAAACTCAATTAAATAACTTGACCCACAAGGTGACCCATATAACCCATGTTAGTAAATATAAAATTACCAAAATACTCCTAACCTTAAAAATCCTAGAAAACATAAAAAAAAATAAAAAAATAAGACTCTAAAAATACTCGAAACATAATTATAGAAGATTTCTATTAGTTTCTCTATGAAATCATGCCAATGTCCAAGTATCATCACTTCTCTGAATTTAGCCTTCTTTGAGCTTCTTATACTCTGCATATTTGGGTGATAAGACAAAGTCAGTGAATCCTTTGTTTTACAGGATGCATTTCCTATGATCAATTACTGTTTTCTCTATGTATTCTAAATAATAAGAAAAATAATAAATAAATAACCTCTGCTCTTTCAGCTTGGGTTTGCCTAGGTAATACGTTCAGTCTGCACGTTTTTACTTGTTTTCAGTGTGGATTTTCACATATTTGGTTGTGTGAATTTAGTTTTGTATATTTCCAGAAATTTGGTATTGGTATTTTGGCATAATGTAAAGTAGAATGCATTGATACTTTTTGGCAAGGCTTTAGACACTGCTGAAGGATGATATCAAGGTACCCTATCAAACATCATGTTTTCGCAATTTCTGTGCCACATCAAAATTTTCCTTCTAGATTCTTGGTCACTGGAAGTTGGTTATGAGCTACTGTTGTCTTAGCATTTATCATAGGGAAACCATGCAATTTTTGGTTCTCTTGGCATCCTTCTTTCAAACAAATGTGTCAACTCATTAATTGCAATTCTGGGCAGGAAGTACAAACAAGGCACTCTGTGGCCTTCAGGAAATTGCTTGGCTGGTGGGGACACCAAATGAATTTCTTAGAAGTCGTCTTACCCTCTATTCATTTTATGTTCTAATTCATGCACCATTGGCCATAATGATGTATATTTCTTGCGTCCTAGTCGCTTCTATTTGTGGATAACTGTCCCTGGTGTTGGGGTATAAAAGTGTCTGAAATGGTTTACCAATAATGTGTTGCAAGTTGTTGGATACATTGTTGTCAAATCCTGAATCAAATCATGAATCGTTTTGCTAAAATAATGAGTTGTATCGAATCGTGAATCGTAAGATTCATTTTATTTAATGTAATATACAATATGTTAAAATCCACCTACTACACACCTACCACTACCACCTACTACACACTCACCTACTTCACCTACTCTCCACCTACTCCTCACCTACTACACACTCACCCTCTTCTATATATAGGAATCATGAATCATTGTAATAGATATCAATATACAATCAATCAATAATACATAATTCATTCTCTCCATTTCTCTATACATCAAATTTAACATGGTATCAGAGCGGGTTTAGAACCTAATATTCTCGCTTCACCGGCGGGCGGCAACCTCACCTTAGCCGCCC